GTAGCTTAACTCTGAGGCCCTTAGTGGCCTTAATTATGTTGTCGATCTGAATGAAACCCTCAACAGTTTCATTCACGGTAATCATTTGGCAGGAACCTTCAGTGATTCCTTTGTTGAAGTCCTCAATGACTCCTTTGGCGAAACTCTCAGTGGTTTCCATGTTAAATCATTCAGTGACTTCTTTGTTGAAGCCTTCAATAGCTTCTTGAATGAAACCTTAAGTTGTTTCCTTGTCGAAGCCTTCAGCGACTTCTTTGGCGAAGCCTTCAACAGCTTCGACCGTGACAACTTCCTTAGTGAAATCCATTGACACTTCCACCATGTTAACCATGGATGGCTCAGAGTAATGTTCATCTACGACTAGAAGAGGATTAACATCTATCTTCATTTGATTATTTGCTTTGTCAGTGAACCTGAGTCTTCCCTTCTTGATTGCATTCTGAACAAGATCTCTAAAAAGAAAGCATTGAGAAGTTTTATGACCCAAAAAGTTATGATATTTAAAATAACCTATATTTTCCCTTTGTTCTAAAGGGGTGTCTTATCACTAGGAGACACTATCATCTGACCATCTTTAACTAGTAAACCAAAGAGTCTATCACACTTGGTGACGTCGAAGCTGTAGGTTTTCTTAGGGAACCTATCACTTTTCTCAGGTTTGACTGGATTCTTTCCATTCAACGACATTAGGACTTTATAGAAGTAAGACGGTCCCTACTTCAGTTCAGTAAGGCCAACTTCGCTTTCGTCGAAGTTCAAAGGATCATTATATGCCTATTGATCCTCTTCTTCAAAATCGACATAGGCTACCCTATCCTTTATGTTCTTATTTGCCCTGGCTTTCTCAGCCTTCAAGCGTTCTATTTGTCAAACTCTATCGGCCAACTGGGTCGTGTCCCTCAAATACTGGGTATCTAGTTTCTTTCTAATGGAGTAATCAAGGCCACCAGCAACCATTTTGATAAATTCATGTTCAGGCACCTGTGTAAAACATTTGGTCTTAAGCAAACGAAACCTATTCAAATAATCATCTATTGGCTCAGAGAATTTTCTCTTAATACTTTCCAATTCCTTCAAACTTATTTTTGACTATCCCATGTAAAACTGTTCGTGGAACAATCTTTCTAGTTGAGTCCAATTATGAACTGAATTCGCTGGTAATATGGTGAACCACGTGAAGACATTCTTTATAAGGGAACTTGGGAAATATGTTATCCTTATATTTTCATTATTCGCAATCTCCCCTGCCTCTATCAAGTACCTTGCCACGTGTTCGACAATGGACTCACTAGTGTTCCTATAAAACTTAGTGAACTTGGGGACTTTCCACCTAGGGGTAATTCTGATTGCAGAATATATTCAGACAATGGTGATGTATAATTTGGCCTATGAAGGCCAATATTTACCCCTTCCTTGCCATGATTCTTTCGACCATGGCTGCTAAATTATTGTCTACTGCCACATCATCACGTTGAAACTGATTGATGACTTCGCCAGCATTTTAGTTTCTATTAACCATGACTACCCTTAGTTCCCTTTCCCTTGGAATTTGTTGCTCCATCCTAGGAGGTTTGACCCTAAGAGGTTCGATTCCTACTCCCTGGTTTACAACGTTCGCCTAGGGTAAATTTCATTGGACTTGGTTGATAGTAGGGTTTTCCTCCAAGACTACCCCTGGATTTTCTACCATTCATTCCTTTTGAGGCTGTCGAGGGGGTTGTGGAACACCAAAGAAATCAACAATACACGTCATTTACGCTGCCATCTGTTGGTTTGTTTGAGTAGTATTTTGGATTAGAGGGTTGAATAAAACACCCATTTATTGGGCAAGCATTTGGACCATTTCATGATTCCTTTCGTCCATTTGCTGCCTTATCACCGCTGCAGAATTATTGGTCATATTGGGCATTTGAGTGGGAAATCTCGTCCCTAAAGGCTGCCTAATTCGACCCAAATTATTAATGTCTGAACCAGATCCTTTTAGTGGCGAAGTTGCATTCACCACTGGATCTGCGAACATTGAAGACGAATTATGCAAACTTGCCATCACTGATGTTGGCATGCCATAAGGCTGGTCGCGACCTATTGAAGGCATTGAAAATCCAGGCATATAAGGTCTGAATAAATTACTTTCCACTAGAGGGGGGTCACTGGTGGACCCTGCATTCCCATATAGGATAAAATTGGTCCACTTTGGGCAATCGACTGCACATGCGTCGTATTTGTCTTGGACGACACAGTTTCAGAAACTGACATTGGAACCGTAGTTCCCCCTGTCGAAGATGACGTGGTGGTTCTTCATTGTTATTTGGTGGATTTTGATTCACCATCCTTCTTACGTAGCTTATCCTATGCCTGTCTTCGTTATTTATGGCTATCTTGCCACTCCTCAGTCTTATACAACGAAGTTAGAGAGATAACAAAAATGAAGAACTTATGGATTTTTTTTTCAAAATAGAAAAAATGTTTGAAATGATAGCACTGTCCCACTGGGCGTGCCAATTTGTTTACCGTGAAAACTGGTAAACAACCGCTGATCTTCCAAAAAATGATTTACTTGCAGGATCAACCAGTGAACCCTTATAGGACATAACTATCATTTAAACTATTTCCGGAAATATCAAGAACACTTCGACAATGCTCATGCTTGTGAAAGATTGTTTAAAGTTTTTGAAAAGATAAACTTTGCAGAATTGTAAAGAAAAGTGTAATAAAGAAACTTTAAAGTAAAATTGCAATGAAGGAATAAATGGTAAACATAAAATAACTTTCAATTGAAATAAAACGTGGTGTTTTAGACATACATTCTCAATGAATTTTTTTCTCAATTGACTTAGATACTTTGAGTGATTTTTTGAGTATTGTACAACAATTGAATACACAAAAATCCTATGCACTAAGACCCCTATTTATACTATGTCGAAATAACTGTCATTAACGGTCATTCCTCCAAAAAATGACACGTTTTGCTCTGCATGTCTTCAATTCGTCATAGCCTTTCACGCGTCATTTTCAAGAAACGGATAAGAACAAAAGACAATTATTGTTCTTATTTGAAATTCAAATCTTTGTCGAACGCAAGCCATGTACAGCCTCCGTGGAAATTGCCATGCAAACTTATAAATATTTCTAAATCACGCTTCAACACACCCTTCTCATAAAGGACCAATATTTCAATTGGAATCTTCAATAGCACTCTTATCGAAGTTAAATACATTTCAATAATGTTTTCTTTTATTTATCATATTTAAATCAAAACCTTTAACGTCGAAATTCCCAACTAACAATGTTACCCTCGGCCTTACTAGGTCTTTTGCAATGGACATTTTTTCAGTCATTTTAGGATTATTTTATCATCATATATCTAATCAAATAATTGAGTATTTTATTTTTGATTTGTAATAATTGAATCTTTTATTCCTATATAAAATATATTTTAACTTTTAGTGAGCCATTATGTTTTTTACATTTTAAAGTTTTAAAAAAGCATCATATTATCAACAATTTAATCATTAAAAATAATATTATAATTTAATTATAATCTTTATATTATTTGATATATTTTATTTTTATTATACTTGTGTTTCTAAGATAATGTTTATAAATAATTGTGATGCGATGACTATTAAATTTTTTACAATGAATAAAATTTTAAAAAATATACATATACTAATAAATAAAAATTTAAAATATATGAACTCTAGTCATAAAAAACAAAATTCAATTGCGAGACCAAATCAAAAACCAAAAGACAAAATTCACATTTACAAGGCTTAGTAAAAAAACTATTATAATATATACTACAAAAAAAAGTGTGTCGAGAATAAAACTATATATAACCGATTTTATAGTTTTTTGTTTTTTTTAACAAAATGGCCGGACACGATACGTGTGTTGCTCTACAAGCTCTTTCACACAAAAGAAACACATTCTACACACGGGATACACGTCGCTTTTTTCTCTCTATTCACCGAATCCGATTCTTCACTTCCCTTCTGAGCGCGTGAATCCAACTCTTCCAAAACCCCATTCCTGCGAAAACAATAATGAGAACAAATAGCCGTTACCATACGCCACGTGTCACTTTGCCGACAATCTGCTTCTAATGCTCACTGTTTATTTGCTGTTCTTCTTGAATTCTCCTCACAACAACAATATCACTTATTCATGAGTATTATCCGCATTTTTTCTTTTTCTTTTTTATTTTAATTAATTAAATAAATAACAACAATTTTAATTAATTAATAATAATAGCGAAAATTCACAGTTTTATAATGGTAGCTTAAGCTTGTTCTAGTACTCACTGGTACAAAGAACGATCTTCTAAGATATTCTCATATTCACCAATAACGTAACAAGTAAGAATCATCAACACTTTCTTTTTCTTTCACCTTTTTCTCTTTCTCTTTCTCTCTCTCTTTTCTTCAATCAAACCTAATCTCAACGACAATCCACACTACCAGTTGGTGTGTACAAGAGGAATACCTCCAATTCATGAACGGTGTTGGAATCTTCTTGCTTTCTTACGTTTTCAAGATATCCTTTGATTCACCTTTGGATCTTCGTCCCTAAATCTCTCTAATTCCTCGATTTATACACGCTTTCAGGAGTTTCATCCTTGGCGACAACTACAAAGTATGGATTTGTTTTTGTTGTTTTGTTAAGCCTAACTCCTTAGGATCAATGAAAAAAAATGGACTTTCTATTTGTGATTCTGTTGTAGTTTAACCAAAATAAGGAAACTTATGGGTTATGATAACTTACTTTCCTTTTTGGATGTTTAAAAGTTAGGGTTCAACAGAAAATGATAGTATAATTTTAAGTAAATGAGAAATTAGTTATATATTTGTTGCTGTAAATAGTATGGAAAAAAATGTTATGCTTATGTTTATTAAAGTATGTATGAAATTAGTTGTGTATTAGTTAATCTGTAATTGTGTTTATTCAATTGGTTTATTTGGTTCTCAGGAGAGTTGTGATTTGTTCTAGAGGGAGAAAAGATGGCTTCACTTAAAGATATTGGGGTTGCAGCTGGGATTAATATTTTGAGTGCATTTATCTTCTTTGTGGCATTTGCTATTTTGAGGCTTCAGCCATTGAATGATAGGGTATACTTTCCGAAATGGTATCTCAAGGGTTTAAGAACTGATCCTGTGCATGGAGGAGCCTTTGTGAGAAAGGTTGTTAATTTAGATTGGAGATCATATATTAGATTTTTGAATTGGATGCCGGCTGCACTTAGAATGCCGGAGCCTGAGCTTATTGATCACGCTGGACTGGATTCTGTTGTTTACTTGAGGATTTACTTGTTGGGGTATGTTCATCATGGATAATGTTTGAAATTGAATACCACATTGGTGAATATGATCCCTGATGTTTTGTTTGTTTCTTTTTGTTCAGACTTAAAATATTTGTTCCTATAGCGTTCCTGGCGTGGGCGATCTTGGTTCCTGTCAACTGGACAAGCACTGGGCTAGAAGTTGCTGGGGTTAAAAACATAACTTCCAGTGACATTGATAATCTCTCAATTTCAAATGTCCAGCGTGGATCTGAAAGGTTTGAAATCTAGTATCATTCAGAGCAATTACAGTTTTGTTTCTGCTTCTTGATTTTGTTTGGTAGATTGTCTTGAAATCTAAAGTACTTGCATGTCAAGATGTATTCTTCACCAAATATATATGGATTAATTAACTAAGTTGAGACATTAGCTAGCTGTTCAACTAGAAGTACCTTTATTAACTGTGAAAAATCTTGATTGTTTTGCATCTTTTCTCAAGATACTGTTATTATATCTTAGTTACTTTTTGTTCTCATCAGTATCCTATAACTTCTCCTTTCCAGTTATCAATTTTATGTATTTTTTTGTATAATCTCATTGGTTAGTGCTGTATAGTTGCTTTTATGGTGCATTCATGTCAGTATTTGATTGAATGAACTATTTTCAAGTGTTAGCTTTTTTGAATTTTTTGCTAAATCTTGTGATTTCCTAAAATTAAACACTCTATCTCAGGTTTTGGTCACATATAGTAGCTGCTTATGCATTTACCTTCTGGACATGCTATATTTTGATGAAGGAGTATGGAAAAGTTGCCGCAATGAGATTGCAGTTTCTTGCAGCAGAAAAACGCCGTCCTGATCAATTTTCGGTAAAAAAAATGTTCTCCATTTTTAGCAAGGAGTGTGTTTTTTTAAGAACTATTTTTATCTTTTTTGGGAAGCTTTGGGTGAAGCGTCAAATTCTGGTTTTATGTTTCTTGTGTTAGAGTGGGTATCCTTTTTATTTTAGGTGTAATGGTGACAATGATGTTGAACCTAAAACTTCATACATACCAAATCCCCTCACCACCAACCTAATCATAGTATTTAGAGGTAGTATGCTACTCAGTCATTATTCTAGGTAGGCACAATTGTAACTTTCCACATTTAAAATAGGTCGATTACTGGTGTGGATTCGCTAGAAATTTGGCATTCATAATAAGAACCCAGCTATTTATATCAGTGAGTAATTAGGCAAAACAATATAGTGATGACAGCTGTGCAGTATTTGGACATATCAAAGACATGAGAAACTACAAAAGAACTAACGGAAAGTTTTGTAAAAAATAATAAAACGAGGCAGGAAAAACATAATTTAAACACCAAAGAGCTCTCCAATCTGTCAGTTTGGGGAAATTAAAATCACAGGCCGAATTGTCACGTGTTGAAATTGAGATATTCCTTCATGCAATTTTGCTTATAGAATATATGTTATTTTGAAGGTGCTTGTTAGAAACATTCCACCAGATCCTGATGAATCTGTTAGCGAGCTTGTGGAGCACTTCTTTCTGGTCAATCATTCGAATACCTATCTGACTCACCAGGTTGGTTCCTACTATATACACTATGCTACCAGAATATTGTGTTCATTAATCATCTCGTTGATTTTGATATTTAAAATTCAAGAAACTTAGGGTGGTAAACATTTTGAAAGTTGTTATTTGTCAAATTAGTTCTGAGATAATATTAAACCTTATTTGTTAAATTGATTATGAGATAACGTTTATGAAACATGGAGTAGATTATTAACTAGATCTATTGCAACAGATTAATTTTGCCCATTTATTTGGGAAGGCAAAAAATAGCGTGTGACGGCATCTTTATTGCTACACTTGTGTAGGTTGTTTATAATGCAAACCGGTTGGCAAAGTTGGTTAAAAAGAAGAGCAAGATGCAGAATTGGCTCGTCTATTATCAAAATAAGCTGGACAGAACTTCAATAAGACCAGAAATGAAGGTATTTAACTTTTAATCTCACGTGCATTCAAATGTTGGTATAGCGATATTCAGATTTAACACAATCTTTCTTTTATATTTTACCAGACTGGTTTCCTTGGTTGTTGTGGAACGAAAGTAGACTCTATTGATCATTACACCACTGAAATTGACAAGCTGTCAAAAGAAGTAAGTGCCATAATATTTTTCTGTTATCAATTTCACCCCACACTGCAAGCAGTTTTTTTTTGGTGTAATATAAGTTCTTCATGCTAATAAAAAAATAACAAAATTATTCAAACATGGTAATTAAATATAAATTTTGCAGAATTGATGTCACAGACTATGATAATATGATATGCTATACCTTAACTAGTCTCTCTAGTGTGTGCATTAATATCATTCTGCTTTTGATGATTTATCTCACTAACTAGCTGCTTTGCGACTGTACATGCAATAAATAGTTTTCTGATGGGTTGCCTGAACTAAAATTGAAATTTGAAAGACTTCGAGAGACGGTGAAAGAACTTGTTTACCATAATAAAATTTAAAATGGGATAACATCTGCAGAAACTTTGGGCCTTATTGTTGTTTCATAATCATATCTGTTCTGTCAGATACTTACTGAGATTCAAGTTTATCACCTTTTGCAGATAGCTTTAGAGAGGGATGAGGTCGCCAATGATCCCAAGTCTACCATGCCTGCTGCATTTGTTTCTTTTAAAAGTCGATGGGGTGCTGCAGTTTGTGCTCAAACCCAACAAACCAGAAATCCAACACTTTGGTTGACTGAGTGGGCTCCAGAGCCACGGGACGTCTATTGGCCAAACTTAGCGATTCCATATGTTTCCCTAACTGTTAGAAGGTTGATCGTAGCTGTTGCGTTCTTTTTTCTCACTTTCTTTTTCATGATCCCGATTGCAATAGTACAAGCTCTTGCGAGTCTTGACGGAATACAGAAAGCAGCACCATGGTTGCATCCGCTTGTTAGGGTGTAAGTCTAATCTCAAAATTGGATCTCTGGAGATATGATTATTTTCACATTACTCACTGGATTTTATTTATTTGAATGAACTTTATTGTGCAGCCCTTTCATTAAGTCATTCATTCAGGGTTTTCTACCTGGTATTGCATTGAAGCTTTTTCTTATCTTCTTACCATCAATATTGATGATGATGTCAAAATTTGAAGGCTTTGGATCTATATCTTCTCTTGAGAGAAGATCGGCTTCTAGATACTACCTTTTTAGTTTTGTGAATATATTTCTTGGGAACATACTTACCGGGACAGCATTTCAACAGCTCGACTCTTTCATTCACCAACCAGCCAATGAGTAAGTCATTCAATTGTAGCTTCTTAAACATACATAAGGGATTTTTTTACCACTATTGGTTATGCTTTTTAGCTGTTAAGAACCATGATGCTATTTTTGTTTACTGTTAAAGTTGTTAGATACTTTGCTACAAGCATCTGTCTTATTTATACTGTGTTAGTATGATTAAGATTCCTCGTATATTATTCTCAGGTATCCTATAACAATCGGCACTGCAATTCCTTTAAAAGCTAGTTTCTTCATCACCTATATAATGGTTGATGGATGGTCTGGTATAGCTGCTGAGGTTTTGATGTTGAAACCACTAATTATATATCACTTGAAGAACTTCTTCTTGGTTAAGACTGAAAAGGACAGGGAAGAGGCCATGGATCCTGGAAGTATAGGTTTCAACACTGGAGAACCTCGCATACAATTGTACTTTCTGCTGGGCCTAGTCTATGCTGCAGTGACACCTACTGTTCTTCCTTTCATAATAATTTTCTTTGGGTTGGCCTATGTTGTGTTCCGCCATCAGGTAATGAGATGCTTGAATTAGGCTGTGGCCTATTTGGGTCCCCCTATTTGTGTTGCCATATACAAAGATGAAAACTCTAAACTTTTAATTGCAGATAATCAATGTTTATAATCAAGAATACGAGAGTGGTGCAGCATTCTGGCCTGATGTCCATTTCCGTGTCATAATTGCACTGATAGTCTCACAGCTAGTTCTGATGGGACTCCTAACCACCAAAAGAGCTGCTTCATCAACTCCTTTTCTCATTGCGCTACCGGTACTGACGATATGGTTCCATATATACTGCAAAGGCCGTTTCGAATCTGCATTTTCTAAATATCCCTTACAGGTATGTCAATTAGTCATTTGGATGCTTGTTTCAAATTTGAAGAAGCTGGGTTGTGTTCATAGATGGTGGCGGAGTTTGTTGTTTCAGTTATTATCTCTTCATTTGTTAGATATCCCTAAAATCATTGAGTTCTAACCATTTTAAATGGTTAGAATTTGCGACTAATACATGTGATTGTTGAAACACAACTAATTCTTATGCTGGAAATACATAACTTTATTGTTTTTTAAATTTCATGTTGCTTTTGTAAATCTGTACACAGGAAGCGATGATGAAAGATACATTAGAACGAGCTACAGATCCGAACCTGAACATAAAAGGTTACCTTCAACATGCTTATGTTCACCCAGTTTTTAAGGCTAGCCTTGAGGATGCTGATGAGGAGGAAGATGTAACGAGTCTTAAGTGGGAAACTGAGAGTGCTACTGTACCTACAAAACGCCATTCACGAAGGAATACACCATTGCCCAGCAGAGTTAGCGGTGCATCGTCTCCATCTATGCTTGATGGCATTAAAGACGATCCAGAGTCATAGGTCATTCATGGACCAAGAAAAGATGTCATATCATTGAAATGAGATAAACCAGGACGTATGTGAATGTGAGTATATTATATAATGAGCTACATCAACAGACATGTGGTAGTGGTTGAAGCATATAAGCTGAGAAAGTTGAGTGGTCGTGCAAAAGCATTTTGGACTTTCTGGTCAGCAGATGAAATATACCACAACATGTAGAGACTGTGAGGCAGAGATTTTTTTTTCATTATGTTTCAGATTTTGTTAATAGTAAGTTTGTTCCCTTGGTAGATAAACATGTTTTTCTTTTCTTTATCACTTAGCTTATAGAGATTTGCATAACATTACACTAAGGATACTGTAAATTATCCTAAATTGATTATGATTCTAGATTGTGTGTATAATTTTTCTCTTTTTTACCTTGTGCCTTTCCTTTGAGATCCAGGATATGCTTGTTATGAGATTCTTTGAATACAAGAGGTTTTCTGCCAAATATCATCCCAAGTTACTTGTGTTAAAAATACTCACACCCGACTCATTTGGTTGTGAATTTTAATCTGTTTTATTCTCTATTGACACTATTATTATGATGATTAGTTAAGCTTTTATTTTCCCTTGTTGACTTGTTTTTACTATATTTTTGGTCCTTACATTCTGTAACACTTCCACTAAAGAAAGCCTGATATGAAGGGATATCTGTTTTTTCTGCCACATTTTTTTGTTGTGTTGGATGTTGACACCTAAATTTATTATAATTTTATTTTAATTCTTATAATTAATTGATTAAAATTTATTTATTTATTTAAAATTTATAATCTAATCATTAAATACTTAGAGATCAATTTTAATTATTTTGGGGGGTTTTAAATCATAAAAATTATATTTTTTTCAATTGTTGGTATGTGTCGATTATAAAACTTAGATATTCTAGATTTGCAGGAAAAATTCTAGGGGAAAGTGGTGTTCATATTTAAATTGATTTAAATTAAAACAATATATCTGTTTTAAAATATTAAAAAATTATATAAATTGAATATTATTTGATGTTATTGACCGTGTTTTTGCAAAAATTACTTGATCAGAATTCAAAATCTTTTTCAAATAAATTTTATGATTTTTTAATGCATTTTTTATGTGTTTTAGCCATAATGTGAAATTATTTAAGTGTTTTTAGTTTTTGGAGATGCATCTCCGGATGTACCAAATTTTGAATGAATATTAAATATGTTAGAATATGTTTCCGTAACAATTTAAAACATACAATACATCACACTCAGAAGTAATTATAGACTTGAATTGGACCAGAGGTACATCTATCTGAATATTTCAGAAATACATCTTTGTAACGGATTAAAACTTGGTCTTTCATGTTATATTTTGTTTTTCAGTATTCATATGCAGATTTAAACCATATCATACAATAAAAAATAAAAAATAGACGTACAAATGGCCCAAAAATGCCATATATAAATAAAATATCAATAAATGTCAAAAGTATCAAACAATCGAGATCAATATAGTAGCATAAGATCAAGATAAAATATAGAACATAGTACTACTACTATATATTAAGACACTACTGTGTATGTCTGACTATCCCTCATCTGCCTCGTCTACCTCCTCATCCATCAATCCCCTTATCCTCCAGCGCTGTCTCTAGTACAATAATGTCCCTTGTGCCTCCCTCGTTATGACATCTAGGACTTGCCTCACATCATACCCATCAGGGAAGATACCTCTGTCAATGCCTTCCTGCACAATCTCCATTAAGCGATGACATCAAGGCAAAATACCCTTAGCATGATCTAACTGTGTCTACTCCTTCTCTAGTATCTCCTGATGAGCTGGACTCGGCGGATCTCCTGGAATAACATGTACCGTATACAAATGTGACACCCTGAAGAACCATCTGATGTACCCTTCAACGTAGTTTCAATAGCTCTCAACTATGGTACTTCGTCCCTCCTCTGGTACCAAATGACTCTCATAATTATCAAACATGGCCTCTATCTGTCTACATGTCAAGGCAGGAGGAACAGAGACAATAGGGTGTTTGAGAATGATCTGAGTGTGGTTGAACTTTCGCATGACGCGCTCGAGCAGATGAGGAGTAATGAGACGGAACCATCCATAATATAGAACTATCTCGTCAAATGGTCGTGTTTCACGGTGATCAACATAGTTGTTGAAGTGCATATCCTCGACAACCAAACGGTTAAGATATACTCTGTAATGCTTGATCGCCTGGTTCCCTCTGAGGAATAAAAAAGCAGTAGCACGTGACATATCCTCATTGTAAGATAGCACACTCGCCTAGCCAGAGATGCGCAGGAAGTGCTGGAGGATCCAAGCATAAAATGAAAAGTTTGGAACACACGAATAATTAGTAATGACTTGCAAAGATAAAATGAAAATGAAAAGAAACATTCAAAGACCAATAATTATTATCGCTAGTATTGTGACGCTGCCTGTGACCTGCTTCGTCTTCCATATACAATCCTCTCTCAACTTCGAGTACTTGTAGACCAAACAAGTGGCCCCTCAGTTGTACTCATGGATCCGCTCGAAGTACCGTAGGTAGACTAAGTCTGTATAAGTGGCACTTTTGTCCACAAAAATCACATTGCCAACCAAATAAAGCAGGTATGCTCTAATAGCATGCGATCTGTGAAGCACCACCTGCTCATCATCACCTTCAGCCTGTTGCACTATCAGGATCTCAACCTTATATATCTTCTTCAGGTATTCAAATCTAGCATGACCACCCCTGGATCAGCCCCCAGATAGTCTACCATCATCTCGAGTTCCTTGTCTTTGGTAATCTTCCCATGATCTAAGAATCTCCCCCTGATCGGAAGATGTAGAAAACACGAGACATCGTCGAGTGTGATAGAGCTCTCACAATATAAGAGGAAGAAACAACGAGGTCTCTGAGTGCCATCTTTCCATGAATGCATTAAACATCCCGTGGTTGACCGTAGTATAACTAGTCATGCACAAGTCCTTCAGGCCATATAAGGATAAAACTGCCTGAAACTAATCCTTATTCGGCTGAGGCAAGCCAGCAATCTTCTACCTGTAGTCAATAAACTTCCGCGAGTCATGCTCTTGAAAAAATGATAATCAATGTCATAAATTTTTCAATTAAAATTAATGTAAAAAAATAATGAATCCAACTAATGCTACCTCTTCGTCGCAAATATGCATGACAGTACGACTTAGATATAGAGGCAATAATGACAAATCAACTAGGCCTCCTTCAAATTCCTCTAGCTCAGCATCCGCACTAGCCTCACCCTTCGGAGGTGGAACTAGATCAACAACATCAGCAGTAGGAGATGATACTGGATCAGCAGCATCTACAGTAGGAAGTGACACTGGTGAAGCCAGACGCCTGCGGGAGGATGGAGGGAGTGATGCGTCTCCAATGGGAAGAAGAAGATGGAGTGGCATGAGGAGAAGCACGAGACTTAAAAGTAGATGACTCTGCCTGACTAGAGGGACCAGGAGCCTCCAGAACCTGCTGAATCTTCTCCCGCCGCACTGATGTGTGTTAAACAACCCTCACATGCCTCTGTCTATCATGTCTATCAGCTATTATACCTATAATTTAAAGTAAGGCGGACAATTAGTGAAAGCAAACAACACACAAGTAAGAAAATAAAAAAAAGTACTACAAAAAATTCTGAAGATGCATCTCCGGAATCTGAGAAACTAAAACGCTGAAATTTTTTGGAGATGCATCTACGAAATTTTCTGCAACTTAGAAGTTGCGTCAATTGCGTTAATGTAACCTATGCAATCTCAAAAAAATATGTTTTGATAATCATTTTCGGCCAACAAACGTCTAATACACTATGTCTAAACTATCTTAAATGTTATTTCTACTCATTTCTAACTCTAATAAGTGATTTCTACTCATTTACACAAAATCTTAAAATTTTATCAAAAACTCAAAAAACTTACAAGAAATTGATGTTTCTGATGATGTTTTGGATGTTAGAAATGATGATTGAAGTTTCGTTAAGCCTTGTTGATTGAATTTTGAGTTGGTGTAGTGAAATTTTTTGGGAGAGTTTGAAGTTGAGTTTGAGTAAAATGAGAAATGAGGAAAGAGAAGGGTCTGACACGATTTAACCTCCAAAATATTCTGGAGATGCATCTCTGAAATATTTTAACATTAATTGACCTTTTGATGCGTCCGGAAATGCATCTTCAGAATATGGAGGATTTATGTATTTTTAAGTGGTGGCTAAGAAACTTATGGGATAAATTAAGAAATCCTATTAATTTTACATAGTTGTGATTAATCATGAAGATGAGAATAAGTTGTTATTTGAGGCATACTTTGATGATAACTAGTTCAGTGACACATGTGCCACTTTGGAATGTGATATCGTGGTTAAACTTTTGGATAAGAAGTTACAAACTCATGAAAAACCGTCTCCAAATATTTTGGAGACTAATAGAAAGATTTAAGATGAGAGACATCAATAATGAGTTTTATAAAGAGAGATTTGATTAAATTAATTTGTGTATTTGAGTGATTTAGTGTGGTTATATGATTTTAAATATTGATATAAATTGAATATTTGTTTTATGGGTGTAGGTGTAGTGAGATGGTTGGAAAGAATAAGGTAGTATGGTGATATTGTAGAAGTTGTAGAATAATTAAAATAACAGTGTTTCAATTATTAAATGAAATAATATGAGTAGTAACATTTTTAGTGAAATTAATTATTTTGTTATTAGAGATAAACTAATAAGAATGAAGTAATTAAATATAGAAAAAAAAAGGAGTTAGTAGAGAAATAAGGGACAATGAGGATATTTAGGAGAATAAGTTAGGAGCTAATGAGGTAATTAGAAGATATTGTGTAGAAAATCCTAGATATATATTCTAAAAGGTAAAAAAAAAAAAGGTTAGATTTCATCTAATTCTTAGAGAACTTGAGAAAGAGGTAAGAGGAGAACCTAAGAAGTAGAAGAGGAAAGGAAAACCATCAGAGAAAAGCATG